AGCCAGGTGTGGTAGCACATGCCTGTAGTTCCGGCTACTTGGAAGGCTGAGGCGGAAGGATCACCAGAGCCCAGCAGGTTGACACTGAAGGAGCTGTAAGCATGCCACTGCACTCCAGCCTAGGTGGAGAGAGACTCCCAACTCAAAAACAAAAAGAAAGAAAGAAAGAAAGAAATAGAAATACCCAGCACTTTGGGAGGTGGAGGCGAGAGAATTGTCTGAGCCCAGGGGTTCGAGACCAGCCTGGACAACCTGGCGAGATCTTGTCTCCACAATAAATCAAGAAATTAACCAGGCATGGTGGCATACATCTGTAATTCCAGCTACTTGGAAGGCTGAGGCCGAAGGATTACCTGGGCCCAGCAGATAGAGGTTGTAGTGGTCATGAGCATGCCATTGCACTCCAGCCTGAGTGACAGAGTGAGACACTGACTCAAACTAACAAAAAAGAGAAAGAAACAGAAATACATATGTGGCACATTTCCTAGAACATTTTTGCTTCTCCAAATCAAATAGCAGAGTGATTGCTAAAGTAAAAACCCTTAAAGATGAGCAATCGTCTTAAGACTTTTCCCCTTTAATTATCACAATTGATTTCATCAGTGTTTTGCATCTCCATCCCAAATTATATGGACTGAACCCATACTTGCTGTCTATTGCCAAAGCCACTACTAGGTCAGAAATTAAGTACAGCTGGGTTCAGTAGCTCACGCCTTTAACCCCAGCACTTTATGAGGTCAAGGTGAGAGGAATGCCTGAGTCCACAGGGTTTGAAAACAGTCTAAGCAACTAGGAAAGACCTCACCTCTGCAATATATCAAAAAATTAGCTGGGCATGGTGGTACATGCCTGTAGTTCCAGCTACTTGGAAGGCTGAAGCAGAGGGATCTCCTGAGCCCAGGAGGTCAAGGCTGTGGTGGCCGTGAGTGTGCCACTGTACTCCAGCCTGGGTGACAGAGTGAGTCTCCAACTCAAAAAAAAAAAAAAAAAAGAAATTATACTTGTTAATATCACAGCTCACCACAGTCTCGACTTCTTGGGCTCAGGTGGTCCTCCCACCTCAGCCTCCTAAGTAGCTGGGTGTGCACCACTACACCCAACTAATTTTTTTTTTTTTTTTTGGTAGAGACAAAGTCTCACTGTGTCGCCCAGGCTGGGCAAGTATAATTTGCCTATCCAATTTATTATAAGCACATTAGACTTACACATTGTATGTCTGTTTTATCATGACACATTTAAAATTTTAGATTGCTGTCCTTTGTACTTACTGTTTTCCTAAATCTATGACCATCCTATCAATTTCCTCTGTGGAAGGCACATGTGTTCCATGAAGAAGACTGTTGGATGTTGGGAAAAACTCTTCTCCACTGAAAAAGACAGCAAAATGAACTTATAGTAACACTGAACGTGCTCAGATTTCAAATAAACTATCATTCATGATGATAAGATAAAATATATATGAGAGGGGACCCAAAAGAAAAAAAATGGAATTATTTTTTGGAGGGTGGGTCCCTTATAGTACAGGCTTTCCCTGCTAGGTAACTGCTCTAGGAACCCATTGGCAGCAATATACCAGCTAGCATTGTTGTGAGAGGTTGTGGACAGCCTCAGTGAATTTTTTTGGAGATTCTTTCAACACATTTGCCCATTTCATGATGGGTGGTTTATGAGTGCACCTGCCCACACTGTGCTAGGCAGTTTTTGATCAAAAACAGCATGACCTCTATGCCCTATCTTTCCTATTCACCCAATCTCATCCTGAGTGACTTTTGTTTCCCTGAATGAAAAAAGTCCTCAAAGGGAAACATTTTGCTGATGTGGAATGGATCAAACAAAAAATGGCAGAAGCACTAAAAGGCATGAAAATTGATGAGTTCCAAAACTGTTTTCAAAAGTGGAAAAAAGAGTCTCAACAGGTGTATTGCATCAAACAAAGAGTATTTGAAGGTGACTGAATTTTAAACATGACAGAATAAACACACAATTTTTTATAAATAAATTCCAGGGTTTTTTGGTTTTTTGGTCCACCTTGTACATGTATTTACTGCGGGATCCTTTTTTTTTTTCCTTAGGAAAAAAATACAGAATTGACAGGGACCTAAGAAATCAGCTACTCCAACACCTTTATTCTACAGATGAAGACGTCAATGGTCAGAGGCTAAAGGACTTATCATAGGCCCAGGGTTAGAACACAGCTGGGATTAGAGCATCCAGCCTCACATTCTCTTCCAAAAACTTGGGCAAAAGACAGCCCACCATTTGCTTTTTGAAAACAGTTCTGGCTGGGCACAGTGGCTCATGCCTATAATCCCAGCACTTTGGGAGGCCAAGGTAAGAGGATTGCCTGAGCCCAGGGCTTTGAGATCAGCCTGGGCAACTTGGTGAGACCTTGTCTCTACAATAAATCAAAAAAATTAGCCGTGCATGGTGGCACACGCCTTTAGTTCCAGCTACTGGAAGGCTGAGGTGGAAGGATCACCTGAGCCCACCAAGTTGAGGCTGCGGTGTCCATGAGCGTGCCACTGCACTCCAGCCAGGGCAACAGAGTGAGACTCTGAATTTAAAAAAAGAAAACAGTTTCATTGGGACTCAAAACAAAACAAAACAAAACAAACCCATTCATTTATGACTCTCTATAGCTGCTTTCTACCCAGTAGCACAGTTCAGTGACTGTGACAGATACTGGGTAGCCCACAAACCCCTGAATATTTACTCTTTGATCCTTCATGGAAAATGTTCACTAACCCCAGCAGTAAAGCATTCTGCCTCCAAAAGCCATATGTATGCTAACTATGATAGTCTGAGTGTTAACCACTCAACACTCAGTCTTAGAATTCCCAGGCAGAAAGAAAACCAGGTAGTTAGCTTAACCACTGTAAACAATAAACAACTATGCAGGCTGGGCTCGGTGTCTCAGCCTGTAATTCCAGCACCTTGGAAGCCCGTGGGTTCAAGACCAGCCCAGGCAATTTGGCAAGAACTCGTCTCTACCAATAAATCAAAAAAATTAGCTAGGCATGGTAGCATGTGCCTGTGGTTCCAGCTACTTGGAAGGCTGAGGTGGAAGGGTCGCCTGAGCCCTGCAGGTCAACGCTGGGGTGTCTGTCAAGGTGCATGCCACTGTACTCCAGCCTGGGCAACAGAGTGAGACTCCAACTCAAAAATAAATAAATAAACAGCGCTGTCAAAACACAGACCTCTGGGCACAGTGGCTCAAGCCTGTAATCTCAGCACTTCGGGAGGCCAAGGCAAGAGGACTGCCTGAGTCCAGTGGTTCAAGACCAGCCTGGGTAACTTGGTGAGAACTCATCTCTACAATAAACCAAAAAATAAGCGGGGCATGGTGGCGAATTTCTAGCTACTTGGAAGACTGAGGCAGAAGGATCGGCTGAGTCTAGCAGGTCGAGGCTGTGGTGGCCGTGAGTGTGCCACTACACTCCAACCTGGGCAACATGAGACTCCGACTCAAAAAAAAACAAAAAACAAAACAAAAACACACAGACCATTCTTAGGCAACTGCTGATTACCTATCTCTTAGCACTAAAGTGTTCATACATGTGTACATGTATACTTATTTACATACACACAGAAATACATCCACATCGCCTCAGGATTAAAAAGGACGTACTGTTTTTCTCTCAGTCTCTCATACGCTTCCATGTCAGGTTTGATCTGCTTGGTCAGCCGATGATACTGACGTAACTGGGCAGCAGCATAATCTAAAAACAAAGTGAAAACCAGAGATGATATATTTCGAAAAATCTAAATTATGGTAGGTGAGTATTCCTTATCCAAAATGCTTGTGGCCTCCAGTGTTTTGCATTTCAGTTTTTTTTCAGATTTTGGAATATCTGCATTATACTTCAAGCCAAAACCTGAAATATTCCAGTGAGCATTTCCTTTCAGCATCACATCAGCGCTGAAAAAGTTGTGGATTCTGGCGCATTTTGGATTTCAGATTTTCAGACTAGGGATACTTAGCCTGTGTTAGGCAATATAGTTGTAAGCCTCTGTCCTGAAGACACTGATAAACACACCCCTTGACTGCCAGGCACAGTGGCTCACACCTGTAATCCCAGCACTTTGGGAGGCAGAGGCGAGAGGACTGCCTAAGTCCATGGGTTCAAAACCAGCCTGGGCAACATGGCAAGATCTTGTCTCTACAATAAATGAAAAAATTAGCCAGGCATGATGGCACACACCTGTGGTTCTAGCTATTTGGAAGGTCGAGGCAGAAGAAACACCTGGGTCCAGCAGGTCAAGGCTACAGTGGCCGTGAGTGTGCCACTGCACTCCAGCCTGAGCAAAACAGTGAGACTCCGACTCAAAAAAACAAAACAAAAAACCACACCTTGACTAATTCTACCAAAAGAATTTAAAAATCCAGTTGACTGATGTGCAGCATTTTTTTTTTAAAGTTCTGTCCAATGATGCATATTAGTATTTGTCTTGGTTTTAGGCCTCTTAGAGAGTACTCCATGAAGGAAGCACAGGGCACAGGTCCTTTCTTAAAATCAGAAACAATGAAGGCAATGCTCACCTCATCCATTCAAACAAGTTCAGTAAAGATCAGCTTTACCTGAAAATCCCAGATCAGGATTTTTCCTCTTCTTCTTCCTCTCCCATCTCTCCGCATCTTCTGCACTGATCTCTAGCAACTTCACCTTTTCATAGTCTTCTCCTCTTGCTGTACATTCCTAAAAATGAGAAAAAAGCTGACAGCTGTAGTTATGATACAAGCAATTACTGGATCTATTCTAAATCAAGAAAGATCCAGCAGATATCAAGCAATACTTTAAAAATCATGATTAATATTTGAAGGACTTTGAGGTATCTGCTATGGTATATAAGAAGCAAGCATATGATATTTACTGTGTTTATCAATTTCCAGAGCCTGTTTTAAATTATTTACATGCACTAACTCATTTAATTCATAATTACCTCAAATAATTTTATTATAGTCCCTGTTTTACAGATGAGAAAACAGAGGTACAGAGATGTAAAACAACTCACCCAAAGTGTTGCAGCTAGTAATAACAAGCAGAGTCAGAATTTCAATTCTGGCTCCAGAGCCAGTATACTCAACCACCATGTGGTAGTGTCTTAATACTACTGAATGACTGAATAAATCACTTAGGAAGATCACAGAGTCGTTCCTAACCTTTTTCTTTTCTTCTTCCTGTAGTTCCCATTCTAAACGAGCTTTTTTGGCTTCCCAATTCGCAGGTAACTTAAGTCTTTTATCTTCTTCCACAACTTCCTGATGATTTAATTTACGAGCTTCATTCTAAAACCATAATACAAGAAGTTTGTCAGCTGAAATATGAAAATATCCAAACAGATCTTACCCTCTTTGAGTACGGTCAGGAAGGATACATTAATAAGCAGACCTAAGGCTGAGCGCAGTGCTCACGCCTGTAACCCTAGCACTTTGGGAGGCAGAGGTGCGAGGACTGTCTGAGCCCATGGGTTCGAGACCAGCCTGGGCAACTTGGCAAGATGTCATCTCTATAATTACCCAGGTGCAGTAGCATGCACTTGTGGTTCCAGCTACTTGGAAGGCGGAGACGGGAAGAACTGCCTGAGCCCAGCAAGTCAAGGATGTGGTGGCCATGAGCTTGCCACTGCACTACAGCCTGGGTGACAGAGACTCCAACTCAAAAAAAAAGGAAGAAAAAGGCTGGGCACAGTGGTTCACCCTATAATCCCAGCACTTTGTGAGGCCGAGGTGAAAGGATTGTCTGAGCCCACGGGTTCGAGACCAGCCTGGGCAACTTGGTGAGACCTCATCTCTACAATCAACAAAAAAATTAGCTGAGCTTGGTGGCGCGTGCCAGTATTTCCAGCTACTTGGAAGGCTGAGGGAGAAGATTGCCTGAACCCAGCATGTCGAGGCTGTGGTGGCCGTGAGCGTGCCACTGCACTCCAGCTGGGCGACAGAGTGACACTTCGACTCAAAAAGAACAAAAACAAAAACAAGAAACAAGCAGAACTCGTTTTATCCTAAAATCAACAGAGGGCTATTAGGGGATTTTTGACAAGGGAATTACTTAATAAGGTCTGTATTTATATATAGTCAAGAAAAATGTATTGAACTGCACTGGTGTGCTGTTCCAGAGCCATGGGGGTTACTATCAGTTTTGCTTCTGTTTAGCTGTGTGGTCCCTTTGGGCTGAATCACAACAAGGTTTTGCAATGTGGGGGAGCCATACTATAGTGACTTTAGATGGTATTAAGTAATATTAAATCACATGATGTGATATTCTACTTTCAATTCTCTTTTAACTCTGCACTTGGAAATATCTCTGGATCACCTACCAGCAACTGGACTGAACTTTTTTACAAAACAGTGAAAAATGGATCACTTCATATTAAATAGGATAGCATTGGAACCAATTATTTTATTGTAATGATATTTGGCTTATAATGGAATTTTAGAGATTGAGGAAAATATTTATGACAAAAAAACCCCAAAATTTTATAGCTTATATTTTTCTAAGGTGTGGTAACATGTGAAACAGTCACCGACATGCATTGCAGTTTCATTGATACATGTTGTGCAATAGTAATTTGTTTGATATCTTTAATCTGGTGTTTTTCTATGTGAGCAATGAAGTCTTGTTTTCTTCCTCCCGTATTAATAATATGTAATTTATTGTCCACTCTGTGCATCACTGTGAAAGCACTTCACACAGTCTTTCTCTATGCAACACCAGCTGATATTTTTATCTATATCTCAGTATATATTCCATCTGTTTATTTGCCTTTTCATGAAATTTGAGTGGAAACTTCAAGGAAACATGCATGATTAAAAAATTTGCACTGGCTTAAGTATGTCCTGTATAATCACCAGCAATCTCCTTATGTCCCCTGAGAGGGGACATCTGAATGGTTTGCTAGATTTATGATGTCCCCTCAGAGGATACATCCGAGTGCAAAGGATTCATTCAAGGAAAAGGCCTCAATCTGGTGTTCAAAGATTTTAACACTTACCTTGATATCTCTAACCCTTTCCAAGTCCCCCTCCTTTTAAAATATTTTAACAAGGTTGGGTGCAGGTGGCTCATGCCTATAACTTTAGGAGGCTGAGGTAAGAGGATTGCCTTAGCCCACAGGTTCAAGACCAGCCTGGGCAACTTGGTGAGACCCCCATTTCTATAATAAATTAAAAAAAAAAATTAGCGAGGCATAGTGACATGTGCCTGTAGTTCCAGCTACTTGGAGGCTGAGGCAGAAGGATTACCTGAGCCCAGCAGGTAGAGGTTGCAGTGGCAGGAGCGTGCCATTGCCCTCCAGCCTAGGTGACAGAGTGAGACTCCTACTCAAAAAAAAAAAAAAAAAATGTTAACAGTTTACACTACGACCAATGAAAGCTTTCTAGTTGAAGGATTAAGGAAGAGTCTATTTTAAAATAAGCCTAACTGCATGAAACAAAATAAGTATATCATCTTAAGAAAAACTTAAGTTGGACATTTCTTAGGTCACAAGCTGGTGGCAGTTCATACAAGTCATGTCTCCTAATTCTCCTAATTTCCAGACATGTGTTCTTTGCACAATCACCCTAAGTAAATATATAATCATGTTTGTTTAACTGTTTGAGAATTTCTGGGCCCAACTACCATCCCCCGCATATTCTTGATTCTGGCAGTGTTCTCCAATGGAAGACATCAAGAACACACCTGTTATCAAGCAAAGTTGAGTTTGTTGCATTGAAGGAGAAAGCAAACCATGAAGAACAGTGGGCATTTCACTGAGAGGGTGTTAGTAGGGGCTAGTTCCAGGATTTGGGCTTGTGTCAGGTGACTGGGGGAAAGGTTCAAGGCGCTGGATTGGGCAATGTCAGAAAAGCAAGGTTTGTTACTTTTTTAAATAGGAGGCAGTAGCCCAGATAAATCAGATGTGGATGGGAGAGGAGCTGAAAAGGTGTATTGTCAAGCTATCAAAGTGGTCCCAATGCGGTGCCAGAGTTGAAAACCAACAGGATAGATCTTACATCTCAGGGGATGATCCTGATCTCCCCCACGGATCTGTCAGGCTCCCTGGGCGGCATCCTCGTCCCTCTAAACGCGTAGAGGCCTAGACGAGTAACAGGTGTGAGCCGGTCTCAGAGACTACTCACCCGCTTCAGGTGTAGCTCCCGGAACTTGCGCAGTCTCTGTTCGCGCTTCTGTACGGCCAGCTCCTCCGCCGTCGCGAGGGGCGCCTCCTCTGCGCTGTCCACCGACACCTACGACGAGAAGGACCGACTTCAAACGGGGCCGGCAGTGATTCTCCCCGGACAGCCCAGTCGAGTCCCCGCCGGTCTCGACAGTTCTGACCGGGGTCCTCCACCCGACCCCACAGTTGCGCCTCCCTGGCTCGGCACTAGGCTTAGTCTACATCTCTCGCCCCTGCCAGCTCCCCGGAACTCTCACCAACAAAACCCCCGGAGAAAGGTCTGTCGCACTTACCTTCTCGGATTCAGTAGCAGCCGCCATCACAATCTTTATCTTCCCACTTCCGGCAACAACACCGAGAACTTCCGTCGGCCTTTGGACCGCCCCGCTGACAACCACAATCAGCCCCGCCCCTTCCGGGCAGTCTGGGTACTTGGGACCAATCCCCGCCCCTTTCAGCGGTGAGAGGTTCTCGATTGGGCAGGGTCTTGCGCAGTCGCAGAAGGCCGCAGAGGAAAGGGAAGGGCGGGGGTGAGACAGGAGGAAAGAGTACGGAAGATCTCAGAAGAGCACGACTAAAAGAATGATCAAAATGGGCCTGGTAGAAAGTCACCTACTCTGCATTGTGTACCCATGAGTGAAAAATGCTTTCCATTTAGAACTCAGCCGCAGTGTCACCGCCTCCGAGAAGCAAGTCTTACCTACCTTCTGTCATTTGACACGATTTTAATTTTCTTCAACAGTGTAAGATTTTTGTTTGTTTGTTTGTTCATTTTCCATTTCCCCCATCAGCACTACAACTGGAGGAGAGCCGGCTTCATCTCATCTGGTTCACGCTTACGTACCCAGAGGAGAAGCAGTGCCAGGATTGGTTGCAGTGCTAAAGCTAAATAACGTGCTGGAGAAAAGAGGAATATATGAATATTATTTTTTTCTGCACTAACTACTTATTAGGCATAGAAGTGAAGAAGTCATCCCCAAAGTAAAAAGATATCTATGTATACATTTTAAAAGGTAACATGAAAACTAGAAAAGAATTTGAAATACAAAAATTAAATCTTTATGAATGATGAAGGATAATCTGTTTTCAAGTTGGAAGAGATAATATCACAAAAACAACATCACAAAATAGTATCTCAAATGTGTTTATAAATGTCATACATATTATTCCCATCAAAATCTCAGGGAGTTGTTTTTGTTTTCTGGGACTGGAAAATAATGTGGCAAAAATCTAAAAGTTCAATGACACACTATGTTGGTAAGACTGCAGAAACATAAATTCTACATATATTGCTTGCAGGACTAAAAATTGGTCCATTTTCTAGGGAGGGTAATTTGGTAATATCTATAAAAACTACAAAGTAATTTATTTTGACCCAACTATCAACAAGTATGGGAATGTATCCTACAGTTACAATTGCACACGTATAAAATGACTTATATTCATTTCAGGGTTTTGCTGGTTTTTGTTGTTGTTTTTGGATTTTTGGTAATAGCAAAAAATTGGAAGCCACTGAAATATTTGTCAATAGAAGATTGGTTAAATACATTATGGCACATTGAGTAGAACACAGTGAAGCTGGAAAAAGGAATGGGGCAGTTCTCTGTATGCTAATTTGGAAAGATTTCCAAAAGATAATTGAGAAATGCAAGGTGCAGAACTATGTGTATAATATACTATATTTAGAGGGGAAGTAGGGTTACCAAAATATATTTTTGTTTTGCATAAAGAACTCAAGAGGGGTAGACAAGAAGCTAATAGAAGCAATAATCTGTTTTGAGGGTGTAATAATAAAATATATATTGAAAGGACAGACCAAGAGCGGGAAGCCATTTTTTTATTTTGTTCTTAAACCCTGACACAATGGTGAGAAAGTAGAAGCTATGTCCTGGAGAAATCCACTTTTTATTGTGTTCCTAAACTCTAACACAATGATAAGAAAGTAAAGACTGTGACTTGGAGAAATGCATACTCTAGGAAAAGATTAACTTTGCCAACTTTGTCTTTTCAGAAACAAAGACTCCTTAAGCATGACTGGTACCAGCCTATTGTAATTTGTCTTTTTTAGAAACCCAGACTTCTCAAGCATGACCAGTATCAACCCATTGTATACTCAGTGCATGGCCACCAGGACCCCCCTCAGGGTCTCCAAGACATCCACAAGTGGTCAACAAGGAAGTCACAGCAGTCACGGCTACCTGATTGCAATATTCTCCAGGGGAGAGGATTTAAGCCAGGCTGGAGGGTGGGGAGAGGCAAGCCTGGGGAGGGGCAGTGGCTACTCATCTAGAGTGTAGGTTTGCTTCCTGTCTGTGGGAAGTGAAATTTTCTTATATAAATTCTTCTTTCACCTCTTTGTGTGTTGCAAATCTTTGCATTACTAGAATCTCTGGTTACCAGCGCACACCTCCAGCACACCCTCAGGGTCAGCCAGACTCCAAGTAAAAAGACGTGCTTAATAGACTTCCCCCAGCAATGGGTTTAGAATAGTGACTAGTGCCAAGTAGAAATTCAGTAAATGTGATTGTCTCTAATGATAATTACAGTCATCTAGCACTGTCTCTTGAGAACTTTCTGACCATCTAACTGGACATCCTAGCCCTTGGCCATCATACCCCAGAGGTATGAGGTTGTCAGGTGGGAGGAAGATGCCAACTGAGGAGTGAAACCCGAGGTACAGCTGGCTTGGTGCCGTCCTTTGGCCAGTAAAGAGGATAACAGGATGCTTCATGCTCTTTAATGCATGTTTACATGAAGCATCTTACAGCGGAAGAAAGAGAATTTCCTAAGGCTGTTTCAGCTATTTTGTGCAGTGGGAATCTTGTTCTCTGAGCACTGAGATTTGTCCCCATGGCACAGCTCTGCTACACCCCAGCATCCTGTCTCACTCACCATGGTTCCACTGCAGTTTGTACCTCACCTTGTCACCTGTGCACCACCCGGCCCATTGCCCCACCCACGGCCTTGGAGCAGTCCTTTCTCCATGCCTTCCGATGTCATTATTTATGAAACAGACAATCATATAGTAAGTCCCCCAGAGTAATTCCAGCATAGAGTCGTTCTGGTATTCAGAGTCCCAGGTAAACATTTTTCCACTGCAATAGTATCATTATTCTTATCCGGCAGGTAAGGAACCCCACATGCGGGAGAGTAACATGACTCACCAGGAAAGCCACCCTACTGTGCCCCTAGTATAGAATAGAATCAGAACTTGAACCCAAGTCAGCCTGACTCGCAAATATTTTTTTCTTTCTGCCATTCCATAGAATGTTTCAAAAAAACAAGCATAAAAGTAAACAAACAAAAACTTATCATTACCCAGAGTTAGCCATTTTAAACATTTTGCAGTGTTTTACTTTATTATCGTGATCATACGTATATATGGTTTTTAAAAGAGGCAACATACTTTATATGTAGTTTCATATTCCTGGTTTCCACATTTAAAATTATATATTGAGCACTTTGTATGTCAACAAAACTTATTTGGAATGTTTTAATAACGATACAGTATTCCAGCTGGGCTCGGTGGCTCAGCCTGTAATCTCGTGCCTTGGGAGGCTGAGGTGAGTGGATTGCCTGAGCCCGTGGGTGCGAAACTCACCTGGGCAACTTGGTGAGACCTCATCTCTACAATAAATCAAAAAATTAGCCAGGCGTGGTAGCGCGCCTGTAGTTCCAGCTACTTGGAAGGCTAAGGCGGAAGGATCGCCGGAGCCCAGCAGGTCGAGGCTGTGGTGGCCGGGAGTGGCCACTGCACTCCAGTCTGAGTGACAGAGTGAGACTCCAACTCAAAAATAATAATAATAATAATAATAATACAGTATTCCAATTTATTTTACGGATTTACCATAATAAATACAACCAATTCCTATTACTGAACAATTATGTCATTTCTACTTTTTTAATATATATAAAATGCTGTACAGAACATTCTTATAAATGAATTTTTGTCTGTATTCCTAATTATTTACTTGCAGTAATTTCCTAGAATTACAAATATAGCATCTGAGATACTAACCACATGATTAAACGTTTCATTAGGTGGTATCTTGGGATAAGCATGCCTTCTAAAACATTAAGAAATCTTTGTTTTTTCCAGGTAGCAAAACACCAACCACACGAAGAAGGAATTGGGAGAGAAATGACCAGCTGGAAGGCTGGGTGTGTGTGTGTGTGTGTGTGTGTGTGTATTCAGGAGGAGGCATGGGGACACAAGTGACATGCCACTTTATAACCCCTTTAAACAACCATGTCTGCCAACAGCACAATCTGGTATACACCCCATGCCAGGAGTGGCCTTTCAAGACCCAACCAGCAGAGGCAATAATCTGGCAAATGGGCACAGGCATGAAACCCAACCTCAGCCAGATCAGCATGGGAAAAGAAATTTCAGTGAGTCCTAGAATAGGGCCAGGCCTGGGCGACAAGGGGAGAAGCAGACACAGTCCTTGACTTTCTTTTTACTGTATGTTAAGGTTGCAAATGCTTTCCCTGAGTGTGAACAAAAAAGCAAGCCCCACAGCCTTGTCAGATCATGGTTTGAAATTTAGAAGGCAAGGCCTCGGCACTATGCCTGCAATTTCAGGTACCTGCTACCAGGGACACAATAGCACTCCGCCAGGTTTTTCCTAACATTGGAATCCTGAGTCAGGTAGAACCAATGAATCCCTCTTTTTCTGGTATTTTTAGAGGTTATTCATTAAGACATCCCAAATACTAATGATTCTAATTTTATATGCATCTACATAGTAAGTTTAGGGCATTATCCAACTCAGAAGAAGATATACAGAAACAGAAAAGCTTGGGTATAAATGAACAATCTTTCTCTAAAATGCATCAGGGAGATTCCTCTGTTTTGATCAGGAGATAGATAAACCAGAGATGGATTAATTACCTGGTATGTTTGTAAGGATTACCTCCCTCCAGGTCTCCTTTCTCCGGTGAGGAGATTACCAAAAGTAACTATTCTCTTCTGTGACTCTGAAGTGGTTTTTATAGTATTAGAATGAGGATGGAGATCTCAGGATTCCTTTATTTCTCCCTTTCGAGAAAAATGTCAAGAAACTCCTTAGGAAGTATTATTGGTCTCAATGTATCTCAGACCTTCTATCAATCCAAAAGGATGTATTGGTGGGTGGATGGGTAAGTGGATGGGTGGATGTGTGGATAGCTGGATGACAGATGAAGGATGAATGAGTGAATTGATATGGATGGATGGACATAATGGGCATATAGATGTATGCATGATGGGTGGGTGGGTGGAAGGAAGGAAGAAAGGAAGGAGTAAATGGGGAGGTGCATGGGTGGGTAGGTGGCTGACAGTTGAAGGATGAATGAGTGAATTGATATG